CTCGCACTACTTTTTTTTTCTAACTTCTTGGCATCCATTCTGGGCCACGATGATTGGGGGGGTGGAGGGAGGGTGTTTTTGTTTTAAAGCCATGAGTCATTTTAGAGTATTGGTGTTCTTGGAGACGGACTCTCTTTTACTCAGGTTTCCAGAGAGAAGCTTTGCAAAGCAATAATAACCCAATTATCTCCTCTACCAAAGATTAAGGTAGCAAACCTTGCACACGATGTAAAATTTGATCATAGTGTCAACTTACTTTTGTCTTTCCCATGCAATTTCCACCCTCTGTCTGGCTTGCTCATATTTCTGCCTTCGTCTTGCAAGAGTAGCAACCTCAAGTCCTCCAGCTCTCTACCAGCCGGGGCAATTGCATTGTTTCTAGAACCACAAATCTTGATCGATTGTATTTGTGCAGCTCTTTTATTGCGGATCGCTTCCAAGCATGTGGTTGTGTTTAAAGAAAAGTACTTATACTCTTTTATAAATGTGTTAGTTTGCACCCATTATATCATTTGTTCTGACAACGGCGACGACCCCAGACTGTTAGCCCTGGAGGAAACCTCCAGAGTCCAGACCACTTGGTTTTGCATCCCGGGGAGCAGATTTTATGTCTCAAAATATAGATGCTTTTGGGAAGGGCAGCATATCAGTTTTTATTCAGTCACTCTAACCTTCTGTGAATGAGCATAGCGGTTCGTTTCCGGAGGGCAGATTTTTCAGAGGGAGGATGGAGAAGGCAGGACAGTGGAGGGGAATGCAAAGGGAAATGCAAAGGCACTGAGGACAACAGGTCATCTCCTTTTCCCCGGGTCCTTCCTCTGGCTGTCCCGCTACCATTCCAGGGGACTCACCCAGTGCAGACTCAAACAGCTATTAACAGGTGCCCATCAGTCCCATCCCGTCGGGTTACCACTGCAGAAATGAACACTTGAGTTTCTGCCTGGCATGATCTTTGACTTCTCAGCCACACTGGCACACTTCCTAGGCCGTAGGAGGAAGTGTTACCAGTCCATGGTTCCCATTTGCCCCCCAGAACAGTCGTCATTCACTGTTGTTCAGAAGGGCCAGTGAACACTCCTGTCGCCAGCAGGGCCCAACGCAGCTTTGAGGCAGGGAGGTCAGAGAGGCTCTGGGAGCAGATGAGGCTGCAACACGCAGACATGCCAGCTGAGTCCCAGCCAAGGATGCCCGTCCATGCTTCCTTGGAATCCAGGCCCTGCTTTATTCGCCAGGCCTTATGTCCTGTTTGTTAACTTTGCACAGATTCTTTGTCAACTTGCCAAGCTCCATGTCTGTTGAATTCCATCCACCAGAGAGGGTGCCTTTTGCAAATTCGCTGAAATCAACTCTGTATGCTGGGGTGGGCCTGCCGGGCGGGGTCCTTAGGACCCTGGGGACCACAGGCTTTCTGGCCATTCTACCATTACTCTCACACGGTGTTGCTTTCAGTGATTCAGAGATTCTGGTCCAACCAAAGTGAGACATCCTGGTGGTTTGTCTTTTTTCTTTTTCCTTCTTCTCCTTCCTTCCTTTCTTTCATCCCTTCCTCCCTCCCTCCTTCCATTCTCCCTCCCTCCCTTCCTTCCTTCCTTCCTTCCTTCCTCTTACTTCCTTGCTTTTTTAGCGCTCTGACTCTAGAAACTATTAAATATAGCAAAAGGAAGAGAACACAGAAAAAATGACAAGTCTTTGTATTTATAAAATAAACCTCAGGGCGCCTGGGTGGCTCAGTTGGTTAAGCGTCCGACTTGGGCTCAGGTCATGATCTCATGGTTCTTGGGTTCTAGCCCTGCATCAGGCTCTGTTGACAGCTCAGCCTGGAGCCTGTCTTTGAATTCTGTGTCTCCCTCTCTCTCTCTGACGCTGTCTCTCTCTCTCAAAAATAAGTAAAACATTGTGAGGGAAAAGGAGAGAGGCAAACCATGAGAGACTCTTGAATGCTGACAAAAACTGAGGACTGATGGATGTGGGGGGGTGGGGGGATGGGCATGGAGGAGGGCACTTGTGGGGATGAGCACTGGGTGTTCTGTGGAAACTAATTTGACAATAAACTATTTGTAAATAAAAAAAATAAGTGAAACATTAAAAAAAATTTTTAAATGAACCTCAAAGGACTTCTTCCCCTTACACCTCACCTCTCACTCCCACCCTCCTCACTGTGAGCACATGGCGCTTCTGCCTTTGGTGGCCGCCTGTGGTTCATGTCGCTGAGGTCTTGCCCTGGCAGGGGCCCCCCACACCCAGAGTCTGAGCCCCTGTTTCTGGTATTTACTTGGTTCTTTGTCTAGGCACTGCCCCCAGATCGCTACGCCCACCTCTTTAACGAAGGCGAGACAAGGACACATTTTTTTCCTCCTCTCCTTCTTTCTCCCTTGTCTTCGGTCTACACTGCTGGTCTGCTTGCGGGATGACTCACTTCTTTGTCATCCTCTTATCCCGTTCAGCCTGTCCAGCTGCTCTCATTGCCTCTGTGCAGAGAGATGGAGCTGTTGCCGTGTTTGAGCCTGTCACCGGATCAGCTCAAGGCCCAAAAAAGTGGAGGAAGAGAAGGACAGACAGAACAGAGACCGTCTCGAACTCTCCCAGGGACAGAAGACAAAAATAGACTCCTTTTGCCCTTATGTCCCTTAGTCGCCAAAGGGTTTTACGTGATGTGGCTGTGGGAGCCGCTACTCCAGTCCTCAGTCACGCCCCGCCTCCCTGATCTGGTCCCCCTCCCCCATGTGTCCAGGGAACGCAAATGCGTTAATAGTCCACTTCTCACTTAGCCACTGTCTACATCTAGAATGGTGTTCCATTTAGGAGGACCCAGAATTTATTGTTGTTGTTGTTGTTAAGCCCCGGAGTTCTTGAAGTAAAACAGTGTCCTGGTGGGCGTTCAGCCCCCCTGGGCTCAGGGTGATGAGTTTATTGAAAGGGCTGGTAGGTTTGACAGGCAACACTTACAAGGGTGAAGTTCTTTGCTGATAGGTGGCTCCTTTCCTCATTCATTCATTGTTTCATTCAGAATTTCTTCATAAAGTCCCCCTAACCTCAAGGCCTGGCCCAGATAATCAAGGATGGGACAATCTATAGACTATGTGAATCGAGACTAACATCAGGAAGAAAGAGGAGGAATGCATGTAAGAAGATCTCTTCTAAAGGGGTATAAGAAATGGGATAAAATGAAGAAGGGAAATTTAAGGGTGGTTTGGGGACATTTTAAGAAAGGGGAAAAGAAAATCTGGAGCAGATCCCTGTGATCAGAAGATTACACCGAGTGCTCTTGTTTCTGATGATCTCAACTCCCTACTGCTCTCTTCCGAAACTGCGGGAAACCTGTGCACGGTAGAGAGCTTCCTCCTCTGAGCGAGAAAGTCGCCACCTCCCCCTCCCCCTCCCAGAACACACCCTACCCTGCCCAGGAGGGGGGCCTTGCTTGACACACCAAGTTGGAACAAGGGCCCAGGTCCTGCCTTCTTTTGGCTTCCTTCACAGTGGGGGAGGGCCGCGCTGGTTGGCCAGACGCCCTCTGAAAGCCTGGGTGTGCATTTTCTTGTGGGAATCCCATTGACCAGCCCCCCCCCCCCCCCCCCCCCCCCCCCCCCCCGCCCTCTCGCTCCATTCTCCCTCCTCTGCCTGTCCCCTGCAGCCTCAGAAGCAGCAGTGGGGCATAAAGTCCTCCCACCGCCCCACTCGCCTTTTCTTTGTCATCCTTGCTCTGAAGGGGGGCCTGTGGCCAGTGAGGGGGAAGGGCGCTTCCAACTGGGAAGCTCTTTGCAAAGACACAAAGAAGGAGCCAGAGCCAGGCCAGGAAAGTGCTGGAAGCCCCTGATCTGACAGGGCCCTTAGGACCCTGGGGATGGGGGGGAGGGGTGGGACCTAAAGTTGTTGTGACTGAAGGGAAATGAGTCAAGGGAAGAAATGCCCTGATTTAATTCTTGTGGACAAAGGAGTGAGTGGGCCTGCCAGACCACAAAATAACACCCCGACCAACTAACCTACTTTAAGCTGCTGAAGGCAAGATCACTGGGGAAAGGCACATGGAAACTGAGAATTTTGGGTCCAGGAAGATCTGAGTCTAATGACCAAAAACCAGATGGCTCTGTTCCTTTCTGCCAATCTACACTTCGGGCTTGTCTGTAAAATAAGAGACAGCCCTTCCCAGGGGGTAGTGGGGAGGGTGTGAGCTGGTGCAGGGGAGCCTTTCCTGTGCTGGACAAGGAGGCATGCCAGTTATGAGGGGAAGGACCTAGGCAGTCTGAGGTAGGCTGGCTCTGCGACATGCCTGCAGTCGAGCCCCTACGCTGTCCTCCGAAAAAGTCAGAGAGGGGACATTTTCTGTGGTTCTATCTGGTGGTTCCAGGGCACGAATTCACTTCTAGGGAAAGGGTACCCAGACTGCCAAGAAGTGCCAGGGATGGTCTCGCCATTCAGCCCCCAGAGATCTCTGGGCAAAATGATCTTCTAGCAACCCGTGTCCATTGATGGACGAATGGATAAACAAGATGTGGTCTATATAGACAAAGGAATCTTCTTCAGCTTTAAGAAAGGAGGAGATTCTGACACATGGCCACCACATGGATGAACCTTGAGAACATTATGCTAAGTGAAATAACCCAGTTGCAAACGGATGTTGTGTTGTACGATTCCACTTATGTGAGGAACCTAGAGAGTTGTCACTTTTATAGACACAGAGAGTACAGTGGTGGTTGTGGGAGGAGTGGGGAGTTGGTGTGTCGTGGGTGCAGAGTTTCAGGTCGGGAAGATGATAAAGTTCTGGAGATGGTGGTGGTGATGAAGGTGCGTAATGCCACCTAACTGTACACACGTATCAATGGTTAAGATGGGAAATACATACAATTAAAGAAATCTTCCAGATATTTGTGGCATTTCCCTCTGTGGGAGCAGATGCTGGAGGGGAGGGACTGGCCCTGATGAAGTCACGGGTTTCTTGAGTTTTGTCATACTCCTTGATACCTCAGTCACACGGGTGAGCTTTTTTTCCCTTCTTCTTCCAGAATTTAAGGGACGCTTTGAAGGAACGATGAATAACTTGAGAGAGCTGGTGTGTACTCTGCTGCTTTGTGGAGCAACCCTCACCTTGGCCAGCCAGGTGGGTGTGCGGGTCAGGAATGTGCTCTGCCCCAAGGCCCTGTCGACCCTCAAGGCCTTTGGGAGCCCAAGGTGGGCCAATGTCAGAGTGGAGAGGCAGAGGTCGGCAGTCGTGGAGGATAGTGCACACACTCCTCTCGGGGCAGAATGTTGGGGATTCAAGGTTCCGGGGGGCAGAATCCTAGGCAGTTCTGCTGACCTCAGTAAACAGTTCTTAATTCTACCCCACTGCCTCTGACTGCCTCCTCTGGAGCTGTTTGTAAAGAATGTGCTTGAATGAATCCATAAAGCATTTGGAAATACAGAAAGTTATTCTGGCAGCACTGGTCTAGAAGGGGAGGAAGAATTGGAAAAGAAGGCAAGGAGTGGACATTGCACCTGGGGCCAGTTACCTGGGAGGGGGCTCCTGGGGCAGGTGGCATCTGATCGGCAGACGCGTGGGTGGTCTCTGGATCAACCCCCTGTGTTCCTGGGACACCCAACCTGTGCTGATCCTTCCTCCGCCTCTGGTTGCTTTGCAGGAAGCCCACCCACGATTCAGAAGAGGAGCCAGGTCTTACAGAGGTGAGACGACATTGAGGTCAACGGAGGGGGTCAGTGGAGGCGGGAGGCAGATTCAGGGCTTAGCTCAGGGCACTGGAGGCTCTGTTGGGGGAATTTGTCTGCCACCGCCGCCAGCTTACCTGAGCTGTGTGCAGGTGAGATTTCTCAGGGTGATTCTGCAAAGATGCCCGTGTGCCTCCACCTATCCCTCAGCCATCCACCCAGTTAGCCGAAGCTGGGTTTGAGAGATCAGAGCAGGTGCGCCCTCAGGAGTCAGGTGGTCAGGGAGTCACAGACCTGGTGGGAACCTGCCGGCTCAGTGGCCCAAAGCCCTGTGACACAGGTGAGAAAACAGAGCTGGACATGGAGCAGTGACTTGCCTAAGGTCACCCTGTGGCCAGCTGTAGCTGTGCTGGTCCTCCAGGGTCCCCCTCACCCCAGAATCCACCCGGCACCTTTGTCAAATGCCATCGCTGTGCTTCCATTTCTTCCGGTTGGTAAAAATGGGGTAACTAGGCTGGGCTACCTCACAGGAGTCCCACAGGTGTGGAAAGACTTTCTAGAAGACCATGTCAGAGTCGACTCTAGAAACCTGAGGAACATCCCTCTGAGCATTACGCAGGATTCCAAAAAAAAAAAAAAAAAACATGACAGCACCTGGATTGTCTTGACTGGTCGGAGGAACTCTGAGCCCAGCTTCAAGTCTGAAACCACCAGCTTGGGGCCCTCATCTCTGTCCTTCATGACCTACTCCCATTGGGTCTGGGAGGCTTTGCAACACCTCTTTTAAAGTGGAAGTTTCCCCGGAGTGAGTCATGCCCGTAACTCTTAATGTCTTTGCTATTAGATAAGCATTTCCGATAAGGGTGTCCTGGCCCCAGCGAACCCTCAAAAGAAACAGAAACAATGATGTACAATGAGCCCATGTCACTTTTTAATTAATGAAAAGTTAAAGATTTGTGAAGTTGGCATTCTGGTTTGCAAACAGAGACAAAGGGCAAGAATATCAATGCAAGCACTTAAATTGTTTTCATTTATAACAAAAATACTGGTGGGAGCAGCACATTTCCCACGAACTAAAATGTGGATTTTCTTTCTCTTGGGCTAGCAATGCATCATTTCAGTGTGGTAATACCCATGTGGATCAAAAAATCTGGTAGGCCATTGTATATCCATGTGCATATTTTTGATGAATTGTAATGAAAAATTAGACTATTACTTTGTAAACATATTTTGATAGATAAATTCTCCCCAGATGAGGGCCCATCGGAAGAAAAATAATAAAAGCAGTCTTCGGTGACAAGTTCTTAGGTACCTGTTATCTTCCCGCTGAGAGCAAGAAAGGAATGAGGATGGGTTGTATTAAAAGTGAGAGAGGTTCATATGTGGAATTTTAAGAAACAAAACAAATGAACGCAAAGGAAGGGAAAGAAAAATAAGATAAAAAGAGAGAGGGAGGCAAACTATAAGCTATAAGAGACTCTTAAAGACAGAGAACAAACTGAGGGTTGCTGGAGGGGAGGGGAGTGGGGGGATGGGCTAAATAGGTGCAGGGCATTAAGGAGGCCACTTGTTGGGATGACCACTGGGGGTTAGGTGTAAGGGATGAATCACTGGGTTCTACCCTTGAAGCCACTGTATATTAACTAACTTGAATTTAAATTTAAAAAAAAAAAAATTGAGTGAGGGATGTTCTCAGTGGGACCAGGGATGGGAAGTCAGTGTTTGGTGAAGTTGTGCCCTCAAGAGGCCAGCCTGTCTTTCGATACAGTGACCTGCAGAGATGAGAAAACACAGATGCTGTACCTGGAGAACGAGTCATGGCTGCGCCCCGTACTCAGAAGCAACAGGCTAGAATACTGCTGGTGCAACAGCGGTCGCTCGCTGTGCCACTCGGTACCCGTCAAAAGTACGTATGGGGTGGGGGTGGGGCGCCTGGGTGGCTCAGTCGGTTGAGTGTCTGACTTCGGCTCAGGTCATGATCTCACAGTCTGTGGGTTCGAGTCCTGCGTCAGGCTCTGCGCTGACAGCTCGGAGCCTGGAGCCTGCTTCGGATTCTGTGTCTCCCTCTTTCTCTGCCCCTCCCTTGCTTGTGCTCTGTCTCTCTCTGCTTCTCAAAAATAAATAAACGTTAAAAAAATTTTTTTTAATGAAGTATTTTTTTAAATGAATACGAGGGCCCTGGGTGGCTCAGTCAGCTAGAGTCTCTTAATCCTGACTCAGGTCATAATCTTGCATTTCATGGGTTGGAGCCCTGAGTCGGGCTCTGGGCTGCCAGGGTGGAGCCTGCTTGGGATTCTCGCTCTCCCTCTCTCATCTGCTGTTCTTCCACTCCCACACGTGCACTCTCTGTCTCTCTCAGAATTAATAAACTTAAAAAATAGATGTTTAAAAAAATGTACAGGGCTCCTGGGTGACTCAGTTGGCTAAGCGTCCGACTTCAGCTCAGGTCATGATCTCACAGTTCGTGGGTTCCAGCCCCGCATCGGGCTCTGTGCTGACAGCTAGCTCAGAGCCTGGAGCCTGTCTTCCGATTCTGCGTCTCCCTCTCTCTCTGACCCTCCCCTGCTCACACTGTCTCTATTTCTCTCTCAAAAATAAATAAAACATTAAAAAAAAAAATTTTTTTAATGTATGTATGGACTGCCCGTAGAAGCTTCGAGCTTTGGGTCCATTCTCCCGGGCCCAAACCCTGTGTCCCATGTCTCCAACTAGTTCAGACCTCCTTCTGCCTTGGTCAGATGTGAACGAGCCAAGCAAACAAGCAAGACTGGGGCCTCAGTTTCTGCCTTCACTTGCGCGGCCTCAGCTTCCTGGTCTGTCCAATGGAGAGAATAATCCTCATGGGTGCTGTGAGGATTAAATGAGTTAATTTTGTAAACCGCCTAGAACAGTGCCTGGCAGGTAGATCGCACTCTTCAAGTCTTAACTCCTTTCTCCTTGGAATTCCTTTAAAGTAATTAGAGGCTTCCTTGTTTGTTCTTGGCAGGTTGCAGCGAGCCGAGGTGCTTCAACGGGGGGACGTGCCGGCAGGCTCTGTATTTCTCAGATTTTGTCTGCCAGTGTCCTGAAGGGTTTTTGGGGAAACGCTGTGAAATAGGTGAGCGGTGGGTAGGTGGTGTGAGAGAGGGGCAGAATCCCAAATCTTCCCAGAAAGGGGAAGAAGTGTGTGGTGACAGGGGTGGGGTGGGGACAGGGAAGGGTGATCCAAGGGTCGGTTAGGCAATCAAGGTGCTGGGCCTGATGGGCACCATCTTGGGTGCCAGTCTGCGGTCTGGCTCTGCTGCCGGCCAGCTGGGCAACCCTGGCTGCCCCGTTTACCTGCTGTGCTCTGGGAGCCTCAGCGGCTGGTGCACCTCACTGGTTTGGGGGTGACGCCAGAGCAGATGAGAAAGCCCTTTGGGAATCTAAAGGAAAGAGGGGGACTCACATGTGAGATGTCATCTGTCCTGTTTTCCATCAGATGCCAGTGCCACCTGCTACAAGGACCAGGGAATCACCTACAGGGGCACATGGAGCACAGCGGAAAGCGGGGCCGAGTGTGTCAACTGGAACAGCAGCGCGCTGGCCCTGAAGCCCTACAATGGGCGCAGGCCAAACGCCATCGCGCTGGGCCTCGGGAATCACAATTACTGCAGGTGAGAGGGCTGTCTTCCCTCCTGGGCTGGCTCTTCCCTGGTGAGGAGCTGCTATAGCCGAGGGAAAGACCTAGATCAGGTCAGCCAGGCTTCCCCAGAGACAGAGACCCCATCCATCAGATACACATACAGGGATTTAGAAGGAATTGGCTCACGCCATTGTGAGGGGTGGCAAGTCTCAAATCTGTGGGCAGGCCAGCGAGCTGGGAGCTGACAGGCTGGACCACTGCAGTCCTGAGGCAGAATTTCTCCCCAGCTTTGGCTAGTAAGGCCTTCCGCAGATTGGACAAGGCTGCCCACAGATGGAGGGAAATCTCTACTCACAGTCAGCGGATCGCTGCTGTTACCCAAAGCGATCTCTTCACCACAGCACCTAGGTTCATGTTTGATTAAATAACTGGGCGCCATGGCCAAGTTAACACACAGAACTAACCATCACAGGCCACCCCTTGGCAACGTGGCTCCCGGACACATCTTAAAGCCATACTTACTCTCCACATGAAGACAACAGCCGAGGCATACTTCCACCTCACATGATTCAATTATCCCGTGTACAACCAAAAAATGCACTAATCTTTTCCCCAGAAGAGGTTGAAAAGGCCTTGGGTCTGCGAGGGAGACTTCCCTTTTCACCTCCTCTGGCCTTTCCTGGCTGCTTTTCCAGGAACCCAGACAGAGACTCAAGGCCCTGGTGCTACGTCTTCAAGGCCGGGCAGTACAGCACCGAGTTCTGCAGCACGCCCGCCTGCCCCGAGGGTAAGCGCAGCCCCCCACCCCCACCCCAACCCCCAGCAATGTCCCGGGAAGAAGATGGAGCTGGTAGTGCTTCTAGAACTCAGGAGACAGAGGAGTGGGCTGGTGGTTGACCATTTTGGCTGCAGAGAGATGAAAGTCAGGAGACTTAGCTCTTCACCCAGACCTGGCTTCTAGCTAGCTGTTTGACTTTGAGCTTGTCTCTTTATCCCCCTGAACCTCAGTTTCCTCATTTACAGAGGAGGAGGTGGGCTGCACAGGTGGTTTTCTGTCCTTTTGAGGACGAATGGAGATTCTCCCTTTTGTGACTGATTTCTCAATGGGCCTATTTCTCAATCCCTCTTTCTCTCTCTCTCTTTTTAAAAATGTTTAATATGAGAACACTTCCCAAATTTAAAAACCCTACGTTACAAAAAAGCACCCTGAGTTCTGCAGTGCTTTCACAAATATTGATGTCACAATAGTATGAAAAATAGGTCTTAAAGTTCTACCTTTTCACATACAGTAGCAATGTGCCTTCTGTCTACAGGTAAGTCTGACACACCTGTCTGAATTTGAGGGCTCTTACACTAATTCTAAAGCATCTCCCCCTCCCAGGATTGGTAAATTGGGACTTACTGGTCTAGGGGGCCTTAGAGATGCCTTTAACTATTCTGTTTCTAGTGGTACACCTTGCCAGTTTCAAATGGGGGGAAAGGAGAGCAAAATGGGGCAAATAAGTGAAAATAGGCAGCATTCATAGGTCCATAATCCCTCTCCTGCTCAAGCCCAGCAAATCCTTCTGAGCACAGGCAGACATAATCTAAGAAGGTAGGGGCTGCTGACACGTCCATCCGTTGAAGATCCTTGCTTCCCCACAGCCTGTCAAGTATGAACCAGGAAAACCCTGATGACTTTCAAAGCAGCCTGGGCAATAATCACCTGTAACTGAACATAGCGTCCCTTTCCGCAGAATGTGAATCCACCCTCAGCACCTCTCAACACAGCAGTCTAGGAAGCCACATCCAATCATGCAAGTTGGCCCGGCAGATAAAAGCCACTTAGCATCCCTATGTATAAGGGCTGGAAGAATAAGGAAAGAGGGGAAGCCGGATGGTATCACGTCCTTCTTACAGTGAGGCTGGCTGCCTACCGCCTCTCGGGCCAGTGGCTCCCGCTGCAAACCCCGACACGCCTGCTGTAGCACTTAATTGGTTTTGTGTCAGTCTGAGACTTTCTTTCGTTCCAGAAAAAAATGGGGACTGCTATGTTGGAAAGGGGTTAGCATACCGTGGCACCTCCAGCCTCACCGTGTCTGGCGCCTCCTGCCTCCAGTGGAATTCCGTGGCCCTGATAGGCAAGGTCTACACAGCGTGGAAGACCAACGCCCAGACAATGGGCCTGGGCAAACACAACTATTGCCGGTACAGAGCATAGGGGCGGTGGGTTCGTATCTGGGCGGTAGGCAGGAGTGGGGTGTGGGGTGTGGGGCGGGAGATTTCATGCCTGAAGTTATATGAAAGACTCGGTGGGTGGGAAGGCACCATGGGTAGCATCTGGTCACATGTCTTCATTTGCTGGAATGGCACCTGTTATGAAGAGTGAAGTCCCCTGGTTTTTGAGCCCACGTCCCAGGTTAGAGGTGCTGTCCCACAGCCACCCTGTTCTCATTGTTCTGTCCTTCTGCGGCACTTTTCTGCCAATGAGTCATAAGAGTGTCCTCACGGCATTGCTCATGGCACCTTCCGGCACACCTGTGAGGTGACAATGTTATGTTGCTGATAGAAAAACCAAGTTAAGGTTGTTTTCCTACGGTGAGGTCTCCGACGGAGCCAAGCTCAGGACTCAGGCCCCTCCTACCCAGCTCAGTGTTTTTGCCGTTGGTTTACTGAGCCTCCTTCCCGGCTCACGTGGCCTGCGATGGGACTGAAAATGTGACCGAGAACCTTGACCTCTCTCCCCATCTAGGAACCCAGATGGGGACGCCAAGCCCTGGTGTCACGTGATGAAGGACCACAAGTTGACGTGGGAATACTGTGACGTGCCCCAGTGCTGTAAGGACTGGCCCTTGGCCACCTCCCTTTGCCCAGCCTCACCTCCTGGCCATTTCCTCTGCCACTTCCTGTGTCTTCACAGCCATCTGCTTCCGACCCAGATTGTTAGGAGGGCCTTGGTCGGGAGGAGCCTCCCGTGGCCGGAGCCGCGGTAGGATGACAACACTCAGGGCAGGTGCCCACTTCCCATGCACAACCGTGATGCGGAGGGACAAAAAGAAAGAGAAGAACTTGCCAATTGCTTTTAGAACGTATTAGGCTCGGAACTTCTCTCTCCAGATGCCTTTCTTAGGGAATGACGGTGAGGTCACGGTGAGCATGAAGGAGGGCAGCTCGCATATGTGACTCCCTAGATAGCAGAGAGTGCTCTCACCACGTGCTCCCGCCAACGTGGTGAAGGGCCATCCTCCTAAGTCCAGTTTGCTGATGAGGAAAGCAGCCCAGAAGCCACGCGGCCCGGCCAAGCTCACTGGGCTCCGGGCCGCAGAGCTGGGGTCTGACCCCACGTCCTCTGCTCACATACTTCTGCTGTGAGCTCTTCCACCTCTCCCACAGAACCCACTTAACACAGGGGGACTGTGTTAGTGGAGGGGGTGGGAGACACAGAGGAAATTCAAGTTGGCACATTTTGCTAAAAAATGACACTTTAGAAACTGTCTGAGAATAGATCTCTTTTAAAGTTTATTTATTTATTTTGAGAGAGAGAGGAAAAGCACAAGCGTGAGAGGAATGGAGGGAGAGAGAGAGAAGGGGAGAGAGAGGGAGAGAGAGGTTGGGAGAGCATCCCAAGGAGGCTCCATGCTGTCAGCAAAGAGCCCAATGCGAGGCTTGAACTCATGAACCATGAGATCATGATCTGAGCCGCGATGTCGAACACTTAACATACTGAGCCACCCAGGTGCCCCTCTGAGAATAGATTATTATTACTCGGTAATGTCTCTCCAGGAACATAGTATTTAACTGGGCAAGTAAGATGCAAGCCACCAATGAACTCATGGCCAAGGTCCTGTATGGCTGGTCCTCAGTGGGCAGGATCATAAGCTCCCTCAGAGTCTGGCGGGCTGGGAGTGTTAAGAAAGCTTCAAGAGGAGATGGGATTTCTTTCACCTACGCCCTGAAAAGCTGGCAAAGTTAGTAGGTGGAAAAGAGATACGGGAAACATTTCCCATGGGAGGAAGTTGCAGTGCCGCCTTATTTCTGCAGCCAGGAAGCAGGTGCAGGAAAAACCGGGGGTAAGGAAGCATGGCGGAAAGACCCCCAGTTTGGAGTCAGGCAGATCTGGGTTCTAATCCAGGTGCCGTTGTGATGTGGGGCGCAAATCTCCCAGCCTCTCTGAAGTTCCGTGTCGTGAGGGTTAAGGAGAGCGCAGCCACGGTGGTTGGCATGGACTACGTCCTTGACAAAATGTGGTTTTTATTACCTCTCACTCCGTGCTAACCTGGAGAAGGGCACTGACCCGTAGAAACTCGGGGTTCCGAGAGAAGAAACCAAGATAGGCGCTCAAGGACCTCCCCCGAGGCCCACGGGTCTGATGGTCCTTCTCTCTCCTTTCCTCTCGCAGCCACCTGTGGCGTGAGACAGTACAAGCAGCCTCAGTTCCGCATTAAAGGAGGACTCTACGCGGACATCACCTCTCACCCGTGGCAGGCTGCCGTCTTCGTCAAGAACAGGAGGTCACCCGGCGAGAGGTTTCTGTGCGGGGGGATACTGATCAGCTCCTGCTGGGTCCTGTCTGCGGCACACTGCTTGCAGGAGAGGTAGGCTCTTCAGGAAACCCACGAGGCCTCCCTGGACTGTAAGGCCTTGAGCCCAGGCCTGTTGGAAGGAGCCTCAGAGCAAGCAGGGCATAAGGCTGTTTCTCCGTTAGGTATCCTCCCCACCACCTCAAGGTGGTCCTGGGCAGAACCTACCGAGTGGTCCCCGGAGAGGAGGAGCAGAAATTCGAAGTCGAAAAATACATCACCCATGAGGAGTTTGATGACGACACTTACAACAACGACATCGGTAAGGGGCGACAGGCTCCCCGCCCCAGGTGGCGCCCCACGCGGCCACACACGTGCGCTCACACCTCTTCCTCCCACCCCCTCGCCGCCTCCTTCGCCTTCCGCTGAAGTCGGAAGCGGCCCTTCCCACGCGGCTGATTCCCTCCCCGCCCTTCCCGCAGCACTGCTGAAACTGCAGTCGGACTCGCTCCAGTGTGCCCGGGAGAGCGACACCGTCCGCACCGTCTGCCTGCCCGACGCCGACCTGCGGCTGCCCGACTGGACGGAGTGCGAGCTGTCTGGCTACGGGAAGCACGAGGCGTGTAAGTGGAAGGAAGTGTCGGCCCCATCCTGTCTGCCGGCAGGACAGCAGGGCACGCGCTGTTGACGGAGGGAAAAGCAGTGACGGGAACGTTCTAGCCTTGGTTCAGGCCCTGATGTAAATGTAGGCAGGTTCCCAGCGGACGGAGAACCCCTCCCCTGCCTTCCCCACCTCACAGGGTAAGGCCGTGAAGGGTCTGAATAGTACAAGTGCTTTGAAGAGCTTCAGACTTCAGGAAGGTTCTGGTGTGAAGTGGAGTACGTGATCAGGGGGTGTGGTTCTTGGACCTTCTGGTCCTGCTGGCCCGAGTCCAGATCCTAGATCTGCACCTTGTAGCAGTGTGGCCCAGGATGGGGGTGTCTTACACCGTCCCAAGCCCCCGCGTCCTCACCGGTAACGTGGGGGTAGATTTAGCTGCCTCCTTAGGCGATGAGAACGAAGTGGTAGTAGGTGAAGGCAGTGGTTTTCAACTGGGGTGATTTGCTGCCCCCGACCCAACCCGGCAGACCCTGGCAATGTCTGGAAGCATCTTTGATGGTCGCAACTCAGGATGGAGGTTTATACCAGCATTTAGGGAGCAGAAGCCAAGGATGCTGCCGGACATCTGCAATGCCCAGGACCGGCCCCCTCACATTCTCTGGCCCCAAGGTCAACAGTGCGACTACTGAGAAACCATAGGCTAAACTCTTTAAAATTTCTGGCTTTGTCAGTCAAAACAATATTGACAGTTTCGTAGGCGTCGACCCAATATATAATAGCCATTATTAGAAAACTTGGCGTCCTCCCTCTGGAGGGTTTACAAATAACTTTCCCTAAAGCCATAAGACATTTCCCCTTCTCTCTTTCAGCTTCTCCTTTCTATTCTGAGCGGCTGAAGGAGGCTCATGTCAGGCTGTACCCAGCCAGCCGCTGCACATCACAACATTTGTTTAACAAAACCATTACAAACAACATGCTGTGTGCTGGAGACACACGAAGCGGTGGGAACGAGGCAAACCTGCATGATGCCTGCCAGGTAAGCACGGGTGTCTCGCCAGGCCCTGAGCTCGCCTGAGGGTAGAAATGTTCCTTGGCCAACAGGTTCCTGACCAAGAAAAAAGTTACAGCCAGAAACCAGGGACTTCATCTTGGGGAGGCGTTGGCGATTCAAGATGAGGGCCTCAAAGAATAACACAATCAGAGAAAGGTCAAAGTTACCCAAACTTAAGACATCTAAATTGCAGGAAATTTCCCCAGTGTCTACACCGGAAACTCCACCTGGTTCAGGGTTTCCTGTAAGCCCAGGCAATTGATTGACTATTGAAGTGATGGACAAAGCAACACAGATTAAGCAATTCATTTTCTTTAATGTTTATTTAATTTTGAGAGAGAGAGGCAGAGAGACCGTCAGAGTGTAAGCAGGGGGGAGGGGCAGAGAAAGAGGGAGACACAGAATCTGAAGACGGGTCCAGGCTCTGAGCTGTCAGCACAGGGCCCGACGCAGGGCCTGAACTCATGAATCATGAGATCATCACCTGAGCCAAAGCTGGACCCTTAAGTTGACTGAACCACCCAGGTGCCCCCAAATAAAGCAATTCTTGACTTCTGGGGGTGCAGGAGAATTGGGGTCTGCCGTGTAGAAGGGGGAAGAGGGGCTGCGGCTAATTAGGAAAGGGGACACGGATGATTTGTGAGAAATAAGTTTTAAAAACTCCCATTCAGCCTTAATATGAGGTTTTTAGCCTGGGAGAACAAACCATTTCAGGCTCTCTGTGTTTTTGCACCCTTATCAGAGTTAGTACTTGTCTTTCATGATAATGAGGGACTGGGTATGGGACACAGACCAACCTGTGGCATTGGGACCCAAATATAACCAGGGCGCTGTTATTGACGAGACATTTTCAAACCTACAGTGTGCCAGGCTCTCCATCAAGGGCCTGGGGGCTGGAGGGGAAACAAAAAGAAGGAAGCAGGGCTCTTGCATCAAAGACTTTGTGGGCTTTGTTCTTATAGGGTAATCATATCAGCATCTGCCCTCAGTTCCTTGACAACCTTTGTCTCTTTCTGAATGGTTGGCTCAACAGTCATAAAAAGTTGTATGCAAAGTGAAACTATGATCAGCAACCTTCAAGTTAAAAACAAAAACAAGAAATTATTTTGATTCAATAAGACGGTAACAGCCAACAATGACCAAGAGTCTTACCAAAGATCATATGTTGTTCTCAGACTCTCTGAGATTCAGGCGCTCTCCTCACTAATTCCCAGAGTATTCTCATACCGTAGGTATAGCATGATGGCTATTTTACAGGTACGAATACTGAAGCACAGTTAGCCTAAGGCCACACAGCTAGTAAGGGATAGAGTTAAGACCAGGGCTGTGGCCTGAAATGTCTGAGCAGTTATCTCAATTCTACTTTGCAAAGTAGATAAAACCTAATCCCCTACAGGATCAAGATCACTGAGATAACAGTTTCCCTCTCTGAGCTAAGTACTTTGAAGAGTACAGTACTAGCACTACAAATAGTCACCCTAACTTCCTCCTAAAGAGTCTGTGTTTTTTTGCAAACTGACCTGTTCTCTCTTTTGCAGGGTGACTCAGGTGGCCCCTTGGTGTGTATGAAGGACAACCACATGACTTTGGTCGGCATCATCAGTTGGGGCCTCGGCTGTGGGCAGAAAGATGTTCCAGGTGTATATACCAAGGTTACTAATTACCTAGACTGGATTCAAGACAATATGCGACCATGACCAAGGGCGCCCAGTTCCCCGAAATCACGGGAGGAAGCTGGGGCTTCCCCCACTTCCGAAGACACACCAAGGCGGGGCGCTTCTTCAGAGAGATGAGCCGTAACACAGTACAAGTGGGTGGCGGGGTGGGGGGGGACCGATAGGAGAGGGGACAGGATAGGTTTTCACGGGTACTTCCCATTTTAGAAGTTTTCAGGGGGTTAAGACTGGATTTCAGAATGGAGTCTGTCAGCCGAGAAGACAGATAAAAGCCAACCCCTCCTGGAATACGACCATCTAGGGCAGAAGAGAGGTAGACCAAAAGCCCGACCCGAGCTGTCAACATGTGGAGAGTTGGGAAAGGGACCACAAAGAAGAAAGTATGTCTCAGCAGTGTAAAAAAAAAAAAAAAAAGTCTGGAGCTTTCAGGAAGGAAGGATTGCATTAGAAATGGAGTGTCTATTTATACTCACAAGGAAGCCCAATGGGGGCCTCCTGATGAGGGATGGGCTGGCCGGCCAGATCATGTTCCTCAACATCTTTTAAATCCAGTATTTGGCTTTTCCCTTTCTCCACTCTACAGTTCTTGGAAGGAAATCCTTTTGTGGATAGTGTAAATCTTTTTTCTTTATAAACTTCATAATAAAGCAGGAGACTTGTATCATTTTAATACCCGATAAACTAGGCTTTAGTATATTTATATCAACCCATTTTCATTTTTACTTGTTGCCACACGCCTGTATTATACTGTGCTAATAAATTCAGATATATTTTTCACATATTTTCCCAAATCGGAGTGGGTAATTTTGTTACGTTGGCAGTATCTCACTTTTTTATTTTATTTTACTTTTTTATCCCGCTTTTTTATTCCTGTTATTCATGGTCACATCTTTAAAATCACTTTGAGTATTTCCTTTCATTCATTTGACATATACAGAATACTTTGTAATGCGCTAGCGATGGGGTCTTGGAATGGTGGTGGTGGGGGCCCGAGCCGACTGCCAAGAAAGAATTCCTGAGACGTCCTGAATGCAAAAAGGTAATTTTATTAAAGCACAGGGACAGGACTCGTGGGCAGGAAGAGCTGGTGCTGAGACTGTGAGGAGAGTCTGGTTACATCCTTGGGAGCTGGGGGAGGTAAAGTCAAGGGGAAGTTTCCAAAGGGATTTTCCTATGCTAAAGAAGGCACTCAGGATCCTGGAGTTCTAGCTATTGTCAAGCTAAGGTGGTTTTCCCCTCTAGCAAAGCATTAAGACAAGAGGGAGTTCTGGAGAAATGTTCTTGTCTGCCCGCCTCAAGTTTTTGTCAATGGGCTGCAGGTTATAAGGAAAGTTAGTTTCATCTGCCATTGCCTTCTGCCTTTGTTTCCCACATCACTAGGTGCTGTTGACAGTAAAAGAGAGGAAGAAGGCAGTTCTTGGTTTGACAGGGAAATAGGCACTTAAATACCAAGGTAGAGGTGCCTGGGTGGCTCAGTTGATTGGGCTTCTAACTCTTGATTTCTGCTCAGGTCATGATCCCAGGGTCATTGGGATCAAGCCGTTCTCCCTCTGCCCCTCTCCCCGGCTCACACATTCTCTCTCTTTCTCTCTCTCAATTAAAAAAGAAATACCAAGGTAGAACAGAGATGGGTTACAAAACAGCAGAGAGAAACTTTTACTGGCATTCAGTTGCATTAAGGATTCTCAAGGAAAAAACAGAGGTAGGTCTTTTAAAAGCCGGGCAAGATTTGGCCTGGTGGAGAGGTGTGGGCAAGGGACTCCAGAGGCAGGGGATGTCACCGCATGAAAATACAAAGATCTGGAGAGCAAAAAGAGCAGTGGGAGTAGGGAGAGGATTTCCTACAGGTTGTCAGAAGTGAAGTTCATGAAGAACATAGGTAGGAATTTAGATGACGGTGCTTTGAATGCCAGGCTGCGTTTGGGACTTCATTCTGTAGGCAGCTCAGAGCCACTGGGGCTAATGTGTAGCAGGAGTGATGAACTGAGCAGAGCCGGGGAAAACGTACTGCGAGGTGGACGGAATGAAAGCGAGACTGGACAGGGAGGCTCCGTGACAGCAAGCACGGCAGAGGAAAAGAGAAGCGAGGGGAACGAGGCATGACTTGGCTAGCATAGCAACATCCCACTGTTGGGCAGATGAGAGGCTAGTATTTGGGCCATTTTCTTCCCATCCCGTTTCCCTTTGCCGGTCATCAGAAAGAATGGACTTCCAGACCAGTCCATGTGACTTAAGTAATGCTGTTTTCTGCTTAGACTACTTTCTTAACCAGAGATGCGACTCCTACTCCCGGCTGCAGCCGACACTCCAGATCCCAGAATAAAGCTGAGATCCCGGCCCTTGGGTAAGCACGGACAGCTTTCTGGAGAGGAGAAAAGGAGGCTACAGTCTCCATCTCTTGAAAGGCTGTTAGAACTGCTCTGTGTAGAGGTTCTTAGAAGTATGTAGTTTCAACTCACAAAAGCAACCCTCTAAAGCCCAAGAGCTTGATTTAGAGGAGAACACACACACACACAACTTCCCTGAAATGCTCAAGTCCCTGGAGCAGTTGAATAAATGCAGATCGCAGAGACTGAAGTCACAGATTTCTCAACTTTCAACTGCCTGCTTACTTCCCTGTGCAAGGGGCAGGTTTTGCTTTAGATGGAAGGGCCCCTCAGCCATTTTAGAGAAACACTGGTAGAGGACAGCAATGGGCCAGACTCCCCGGCTCCTGCATCTCCGCCAGAAATTCAGGTGGTTTCAGCCCCTCCCCTTTGGACGACAAGCTTGGCGAAGAAAATGAACTGAAGCACTAAGGCCTCATGGGGGTGGGCCAAGGCCCCAACATTCCTCTGGATGAAGTCCTGGCCACGAAAGGCGAAGACAACTGCTCACAAGGGGCCACTGACTGGGCTGCAGGACAGGGTCCCAGCCCTGCAAACAGACCCCTTTGAATTATACTAAAATACATTCAAAGAGCAACAACACATCATTACCCAGGGTGGGTTAGGAAATTCAGGATAAAATGTCTGGAACCTCTCAGGCCAGGGAACAGGGTATAAGGGGGAATTAAATAGTTCCTTATCCTCAGTTGGCTAATAAAGCAACTAGATGCTAACAGATCTGAAGAACAGTAACGATTATCAGGAAGCTGTGCCATACATTTTAGCAGGCAGAGACTTAGAGGAACTCAGATAACAGAAACATCCTTCTGGAGCCCAGATTTGAAGTCTGGTGATCACAGAGAGTCATAAACTCTGGTTCCACGTCTCACTTCAAAAGCCAAAACCTCACACAATCCCATACTTGGTATCTTGGGGGAAGGCTTAAGAGTTTCAAATTCTCATCATCAGGGAAATGCAAATCAAAATCACACTGAGATACCACCTCACACCAGCCAGAGTTGCTAAAATGAACAAAGCAGGAGACTCTAGATGCTGGCGAGGATGTGGAGAAACGGGCACCCTCCTACACTGTCGGTGGGAATGTAAACGGGTGCAGCCCCTCTGGAAAACAGTGTGGAGGTTCCTCAAAAAATTAACAATACAACTCCCCTACGACCCAGCAATAGCACTGCTAGGAATTTACCCATGGATACAGGAGGGCTGATGCATAGGGGCACATGTACCCCAATGTTCATAGCAGCACTCTCAACAATAGGCAAAACATGGAAAGAGCCTAAGTGTCCATCGACGGACGAATGGATCAAGAAGATGTGGTTTATTGGGGCGCCTAGGTGGCTCAGTCGGTTAAGCGTCCGACTTCGGCTCAGGTCATGATCTCAGTTCATGGGTTCGAGCCCCGCGTCGGGCTCTGTGCTGACAGCTAGCTCAGAGCCTCGAGCCTGCTTCAGATTCTGTGTCTCCCTCTCTCTCTGACCCTCCCCCGATCACACTGTCTCTCTCTCTCTCTCAGAAATAAATAAAACATTAAAAAATTAAAAAAAAAAAAAAGATGTGGTTTACCTATACAATGGAATACTACATGGCAATGAGAAAGAATGGAATCTGGCCATGTGTAGCAACATGGATGGAACCTGAGGGTGTTATGCTGAGCAAAATAAGTCAGGCAGAGAAGGACAGATACCATGTTTTCACTCCTAAGTGGAACAGGAGAAACTTAACAGAGGATGATGGGGGAGAAGAAGGGGAAAAATAGTTGGGGAGAGGGAGGGAGGCAAACCATGAGAGACTCTTGAATACTGAGAACAAATTGAGGGCTGATGGGGGTGGGGGAGAGGGAAAGGGTTGTAATGGACACGGAGGGCATTTGTTGGGAAAAGCATTGGGTGTTATATGGAAACCAACTTGACAATAAACTATGAAAGAAAAAAAAAGAGTTTCAAATTCAATTCCCTGATTAAAATTCTAACAATTAAAAAAATTAATCCCATCCTAGCGCGGTGTCACCACCTACTGGCCACAGAGGAAAGTACAAGTTTTACAAAATTCACCTGGTCACACCATGGCGCAACCACAACGGCCAGACCAAGGGGGAAGACGTGTTAACGACTAAGACAGGCAGGCTGGAGTATTAATAAACACCAACTACTGTGGTTTGTAAACAGAAAGAAGTCCTCCTCGTGGCCAGGCGGGATTCACAGAAGGGTATCAGTACAGATATGGGATAATGACCAGTGTCCATGCTTTACAAAGACTGTCAATGACTTACCTTCCAAGAAATCCCTATCACAAGTAAGATGTCTAGGACCTGGGGCGCCTAGGTGGCTAGCCAGGTGAGCATCCACCTCTTGATTTCGCCTCAGGTCATGAGTTCCCCCAGTGTCGTGGGATCGAGCCCTGCATCAGGCTCTGCTTCGAGTGTGGAGCCTGCTCGAGATTCTCTCTCTGCCCCTCTCCCCAACTCACGCTCTCTAAAATGGATTTAAAAAAAAAAAAAAAAGATGCAGGTCCTTGAAGCCCGGTTTCATGCCTGAACTGACCAACCTAAGAAGATCAAGAGAGTAAAGAAAGCACGAGAATAGCCATCAGCAGCTTGAATGGTTTTGTCTTTTTGACACTCAGGAAAACTGTGATCTCAACCTTTGCTCTTACAACCTTAAAACTGACATTAATACCAACATCCCGTATCTCCAGAGGTAACTAGAGAATCACACTACAATGTATGGCTTTAGGCCTGCTGGTTGAAGAGACAGAAGTCATAAGATCCTCCCCCAAACCACTTTATTTCTTACTGCTTCTACCGAGGCCTGCCTGGCAGAGCACTACTGTTAGTTCCAGTAACAGAACACTTAGGACACAGAGGACTGGTAAAGCTCAACTTTATTAAGGTTTAAGCACAGGAGATACTTCCACACATGTTAGACACGTGTTACAGAATTGAACAGTTCAATCAAGACACCCTGCACACCGCTGGGTGGTGGCAGTGGACTTCTCCACTGGGCTCCGGGGGGCTGCTACACAGGTGACATGCTACTTCATACACCAAGGCCTGCAGGTCCCATACCCTAGATACTTTATTTCTCCTCAAGTTCTTCCCTTGAAATTAGGGTGAGCTGTCCCGGAGGAAATAGAACAGCTGGACAGGTAAACCTAAAAATATCCAGAGACCAACACTGGTTGTTTCCTATGACCTAGGAACCCTTAAAATCCTTCGGAGCCCTCAGGAGAAGTAATTCCAAGTATTCTGGGATCACAGAGGCAGAGATGTTTCCCCTACCGTGCCAGGGA